GGCCAGGAATTTCCGGAAACTTGCCCCAACCAATGAGAAGAAAAGGAGCCAAGATAGAGGCGCGTGCAAGCAACGGCTGATTTTTGGTGAATTTTTGAAAAAATTATTCGTTTTTGGGGATTTGTGTCTTCCCCATGGGGAATTTTGGGGATCCGACTTTTGATTCGTCAATCTAAAATCAGGCTCTATTATGGGCCAAAATTTCATCTTCGTAGCAGGGCTGGAAGTACGAAAGTGGGTCTAAAAGTGTCGATTTCACGTAGGTACCAATACGGCGAGGACAAGGACGTAAAGTCAAAATCAAAATCTGAATGCGGATCTGAATCTAAGTGTTTCTTCGAAATTCTTTCGGGGTCCCTGCGCCATTAACGAGCAAACTGTCAAAATAACTTCGAAAATTGCATCAGTTATTCATAATAAATATACTTTCCTGTGCGCACTCATTTTTTGTTTCAATGCCAAACTTATCTAATACTGCGTTACTATGAATTTGTAGTTACTGTGTGTGGGATGAAGACGTAGAGGGAGCGTTTATAGTTGACATGTACTGTATTGCAACTCCAACTGTTAGTGCACTGCTGTCACTTTAAATATATTTTAAAAGATATTTTCAACTTGAATAATCCTAAAAAATCCCTGGTGAGTATAATCTGCTGCAAAAATGCATTTCATAAGACTATATCATTGCATTAGGTATGATTAAAGTATTTCTATTATCGGGAATGGCGATTAAGGTACCTATCTACAGGCTACAAGCTATGTTTTAAACTTTAGTTTTGCTTAGTAGGTAGGCCTAGCTACCTATACTATAGGCGTTTACTGTCCTAGGCTAGCCTACCTAGATTTTGAAGTGATGAATTTCTATACATTTGCATAATATTTAGGAATTAGGATTAGGAATGGTGTGACAATCTCCTGTTAGTCCTTCCTTTATATCTGGATTGTAGCTTTAAGTTTAAAGTCTAAATTAAGTGTTTTCTAATAATAGCCTATAGTTCCTATAGTAGGCTAGGCTCTAATGCTGCAGTAATGCATTATTGCACATTTCACCAAGATCATGAAATGTAAACAATCCCATAATTCCCACAGCAGATTGGTAATCATTGGTTAACTGGTTTGATTGCATTTTGGTGATTGGTTAATGACTGACATCATTGAGAATTTGAGATCAGGTGTGCTGGTGTCACTCAGGTGTGGTTGTGTGGAATAGGCTACATCTACTCAGTGAGCCACAAATGTGATCTTCCTGCTATTTATGGAGGCTGGAGCTGCAAGATTTCTGCCTGATGAATTAACTCCTATTAGTCCTATATAATTGTTAATAAAAGTGGTTGACCAAGCCACATATGGTACCGTAAAATGGGGTAACTTTGACCACTTTTTTTTTCAAAATGATGCCATTTTTTACTAGATAAGTTAAACTTAAATTGAAACCTGCAAAATACAGGTCTATACTCTCCAGACTGTAGAGCATGGCACAACATAGGTCGAGGACGCCAATTTCATGCACCAAAGACGCCGAGGTGGATGCCACTGGACACCACTGGACGCCGGTCGCCAATTATGCTTCTCCATAAATCGCAATATACGATTGATATGTCCGATGCGCCGTATTGATCTACATGGTACGATTGTCGATCGTAACTATGTGTTGTAGCGCGTAGTTCTGATGGCTGTGAGAGCTACATTTGAGCATACAAGCTCATAGCCACCTGGTCCTGAACTACACGATGTAGCACGCAGTTCCGGCGCCGGTGAGAGCTACATTTGAGCACCCAAGCATACGAGCTCATAGCCACCTGAACTACGCGATGTAGCGACCCCCCATTTGCAAACTATAACACTTTCCTAAAATTTGTCATTTGCATATGTAACTAGAAGAGTTCTACTACAATGCATCAAAACCTGGAGTTATTTAACCAAAAAATAAAAAAATTGGAGGGGGTACTCTGACAGGCTTTAAATAATAGCTTTTTTTCATGGGTCACATTTTTAACCTATTAGATATGCAAGCTTTTCAAATCTTTATATTGTGTTATGTAGCCTCAGTATTAGGCCTTTAATGCCCATTGACAAAATTTTTCTATGTCAAATAGTTTTTGAGTAGTGGGGGTTTTTGTTAAAAAAAAACAAAAAGTGGTCTAAGTTACCCCGCTGGTCTAAGTTACCCCATTTTACGGTACATAAGAAATTGTTTAAATCTTGAGTAAATGAGGAAATTAAAAATGAACTGATTGTAAAAAATCTCTGGTTTGTCACTATGCTGAAACTAAATAAATGACACTGGCAAACAACTAACCACATCTGCAAAAATGAGCTTCTGATGAGTCAACCTCATAGTTATACTACCTAGTTTAACCAGTAACCATGCCAGTGACAGTGAGGACTGAAGAGCCAGAAGAGGGACTGCATCAATACACTGTAGTAGGGTAAATGCGGTACATTCTGACATCGTGGGTAATTCTGACACTTCTCAACTTTTTCCTTTATATTAAGCTTTGTCTTAGTTCCACGCATTCGTTGGTGGTTGAAACTTGAAATAGTGACGTCATACTATTGCTCGCCATAGCGGCCATACTATTGCCAAAACACTAGGTCTGGGCCGGGCCGTCTGGCAGCAAAGTGTTAAGATCCAAAGAGAATTTAAAAGCAAAGAAAAGTCCACAAAAATTCATATCTTTATAGAAAAGGTTTCGGAGACCAGCCCCATCGTCAGTTCGTAGAATCTAGAATCACAAATCAGAAGTCACAAATTAATACATTGAAAGCACAGAATGAAATTAAAAACCTAAATTTACAAGTAATAGACAGAATAAAAAAAAACTATCTATTAACAATTTCAAGGGGATAGGAGCTAACAGCTGAATTCAAACTGGGCCTAAGTTTAAAGATGTTCATTGATTCTAAAATGGGCAAATCAGAAGTCCTGGAGGTGGAAGCTAACACCCTAAAGTCACTGTCAGAAATAGAGACATCACACTGCTCGGCATGAGCGTGCACAGCCGAATGAGGGGGGCGCAATAGCAACTGTCCGGTTCTACAACTCCTGCCCTTATGCTCAGAGACCCTGGAATAAAGATTGCATGATGTCATCCCGACATATGCAGATGCACATCGTGCACAACAATATTGATAAACCAGGGACGATCGCATATGAACAGGGAGCATATCTTTATATCTAAAGAAAGAACCGATTGTGAAATTGTTTACCAGCTCAATATGAAGATTGACATTTGGGAAGTATCTATTGAACAAGACTTTTAATTATCTTGACATAGCTTTGGACACTGGGCCAAAGTATGAAAAAGAACAATAAATAACTTTCCTACTATCGCGCTCAGGAGCAACCTTACTGTTTCGCTTTGACATGAATTTCTTGATTTGGGTAAACACCAAACTTGCCGGAAATCCATTAAGCGAGAAAATATTATTGCACCAAAATTCAAATTCAGGGTGCATAGCATGGTATGTAGAACAAATGCAAAAACCTCTGTGTAATAATCTTTGAAGCCCATTTAACTTGAATTGGAACGGACTAAAATTAAAGAAACTGGTACTTAGGCGAGTGAAAGTTGGTTTTCGGTACACAGAAGTCAGAAAACGGCCATTAGATTTGGTAATATTGCAATCGAGGAAGGACAGATTTTCTATAAAGCTATACCAAAATGTTTTCTATAAAGATATGAATTTTTGTGGACTTTTCTTTGCTTTTAAATTCTTAGTTAATTTGCGATTTAAGCAAACAAGTGATATAAATTAGGTATTAAATGTTAAAGCATAGATAGCAAGAAGGGCTCATGATATTCATGGTAGGAGTCTGCCAAATGCAATGGTCTCTTACCACTGTTAAGAGATGTGAGAGTGAACAAATCTGACATATTGAATCTTAATTATACTAATTTGAATGTGAAGCAAATTGCATTAATGCTGTTTCCTTACTGGTTCTCCTTAAATTTTAATTTGCTTGTTACAGTTATAACTGAGGAAGCAATCTTGTAATGGTGGGATAAATAAATGTAATAATGTAAATCAATTGTAATTGTAGCTGATTCATCAGACTTTTTTAGAACACTAGTTCTCATTTATTATTTGTTTTTGACTGATATTTGTTTTCAATATTATATGAACCAATGATCTACCTCTACCCTGATGTTGCAATTCACGCACCAAGCAGGTTATTATTTTCATTTATCACATTATTTTTAATTATGGGTACCTCAATGGTGTTAAAATCTTGAAAATACGCCAATTTAGAGGATGACTAAAAATTACATAAAATTTCTGAGTTATTTTTTTTGTAAAATTCATTTCTAGAAAGGCAATACAAACACCATTTTTCAAGTGTTCAGGCATTGAAGCAGATTCCATGGAAGCTGCTGTTGTAGAATTCTTTTTTCCCTATTGAGGTTACACCTTCTATTTACCTAAAATAGAGCATTTTAAGCAATGAAATGTAGCATTTTATTTCTCAGTGAGTTGCTTTTGAATATATTGAGAAATATATTTGTTAGATTAGATATGACTTGGACCTTATGGTCTGATATGTATAAATAAATCCCTGGAAAACATAGCTCCTCCATCAAGATGTCTAATTGTCAAACTGTGATTGATAAAAGTTAAATATGTGAATAGGTACACATAACAGATCAAATAAGAGATTCAATTGTATGTGTTTTGTGGTTCACTTTTTTTAAACATGTTTACTAGGCTGTGAGTTCATTGATAGCCTTTGGCATTGAAATGGCCAAGCAGTATTGCACCAATGGGTGAAAGTTTTTCAACCAGTTGTGCTAGTTGCACCTAGAACTTTACCCTGTAATTAAGTGTAGCCATAGTGGCCAATATGATAGTTTAGTCTTGGTTCTTTTCAGGAAAACTTGGCAAACTCTAACAAAACTTGATTTTCGTTTTTGAGTTCACATTGCAAATAACATGAATCACTGGAAAACTAATGGTTTAGCAAAAGCTGGAGATTTCTTTTAAAACTAATAAACCAGCAATTTGCAAATGATTTAAAAAAAGTAAGGCTTCAAATCCCCTTTTTGAAAAATTGACAAGGTTTCAAATGTTCTTGAACAGGAGTGATGTGAAAATTTGAAATATTTATTTTACTGCATTAACAGCATGGGGCCTAGCAGCTTGATTCAAAAGTGATGCTTGCACTAGAAATGTTCAAGCATTTTAATTAAAAATGCTGCTAAAACTCAAAATGTTCAAGCATTTTAATTAAAAAATGCTCCTAGAACTCAAAATGTTCAAGCATTTTAATTAAAAATGCTGCTAAAACTCAAAATGTTCAAGCATTTTAATTAAAAAATGCTCCTAGAACTCAAAATGTTCAAGCATTTTAATTAAAAATGCTGCTAGAACTCAGAATGTTCGAGCATTTTAATTCAAAAAATGCTGCTAGAACTCAAAATGTTCAAGCATTTTAGTTCGAAAATGCTGCTTGCTCTAAAATTGTTCCAAGTGGCTCAAGCCAAAGATGCTGCTTTTATTAATGTAAATTAGTTTTTCTGGAGTAATAATTACCATCTTATTTAGGTATTTAGAAAATATTTTGCTAAAGCATTAATACCAGGAATATGTACATCTTCCTCACACAAAGGAACATTGAGTTTGAATAATTCCTATCTAGTCGATCTCATATTTCTCAAGTCAGTCTTCAATTCTCGAGGGTCTAAAGCTGCCCTTGGTCTCCAACTCGCTCTGCCCAGAGGCTCGTAGATCAATACCACCCACTACCGGCGTTGCTGCTCTTTTTACTGATGCTTCCGTTTTCGCTGCTGTTTCCGTGGCATCGTTGCTGTTATTGCTCCTGACTATGTAGTGTCAGCTTTTCATGCTCTTTTGTACCCATGCTACTATTATACAATATTGTTTTTATGTTTGTGCTGTTTTCGAAATGCCCATTGAATCATTTCCAGGTTTTAAATCCTATTACCTGGTCTTGTCAATTGTTTTATACAAGAATACAAATGTTTTTCGTTTTTTAAGCCGTTCTCCTTCACCGTTGTGCTAAATAGCATTGTAAATATTCCCGTAAGACGCTAGGTTTTGACCAATCTTGCCCTGATCAAAATGTGCATGGATCCTCTAGTCAACCACTGAACACTGAGAAAAAAATTCCTTCAAATTTCTGAAGGTTTTTGGCAAGTTCCTCGAAAACAAATTTACTGTCACCTATTTATTTACTATTATTACATATATACTGTCACCTATTTATTTACTATTATTACATATTTACTGTCAATTTACTATTATTACATATTTACTGTCACCTATTTAATTACTATTATTAAATATTTACTGTCACCTATTTAATTACTATTATTACATATTATATGTATATGTGGCACGAACCTCAATCAGCCTTCTAGTTTAAAACTTCCCCTCTATAAGAGCCTCTAAAACTGCCCTGTTGAACTCACGATCAGCTTCATTTAGTTGGAGCTTCTGTTGTTGAAACCACGAACCAACTATTATCGAACTCACGGTCACTGTAATTCATTCAATTCAATTCTTGCTTCTGACTCCTGCTAAATAATAAATACTACAGTAAATGCAAGTGCCCGAGAATCATCTCGGGCAGGTGGTAATTAAAATTTTTCTCAAGGAATTTAAAAGCAAAGAAAACGCCAAGAAAATTCACCATATCGATATTTAAAACGATATGGTGAATTTGCTTGGCGTTTTCTTTGCTTTTAAATTCGCTGTGAACTTGCGATATAAGCAGACTGATAATATAAGTACCTACTTAAAATTTTTCTTATATGAGTTTTTCGTGCATGGGGTGTGATATTTAGGTACCTCATTTCATAACGGTTTTCATTTTCTGGTGTTATTCCATCACACATATTCATTAGTTCAATTTTTACCTTTTTATAATTATTAAATTCTTAATAAGTTTCTCGCGATTTGATTGGATTGTTTAAATTAAATAATTTTTATAATTATTAACACGGAATTTTTGAAAGTAAAGGAAATGGCGGAATATTGTACCTTAATTGCATTATTTTATTAATTGAAAAATTAATTCAAATTAAGTTAAATGATGCTTACCATCTTTGCTGCGTATCCTGTTGAGCTGTCCAAAGGAATTACGTTGATTTCGAAATATATGTTAATTCACAACATTCTGAAGATAGGGACAAGTAATTAATTAATCACTATGTAAATCTTTGATTAAAATTAACTTTCGAATTTTATCTTATCACTTAAAAGGATACCCAATGAATGTTTTTAACATGTATGTACAATATCAACGAAAACTCAGCATAACTCTTTTGAGATCTGTGCTGACATATTATTCCTATAGTAAATATAATAAGAATTGAAACTTAGAATATTTCATATTCCTGCTCTGTCGCCCCTGATGCTGAGAAGCAACTCTGCGCTCAGAGGAATAAGAGAAATTTTGTCCAAATAACGATACACTTCTCCGTCCTAGTGTGTGTCATCCTGACACAGTTGGGTCTGGCAAAGAGGTGTATCAGTGCTGTGGGTTAGAAAGTGTGTCACTATTTGGACAAAATGATCCATTCGTTTTCAGCGCATTTTCTCATTTATGGAAAAAATGCACTATTGTGCTCGCCATGTCCGTCCGTCTGTCCGTCCGTCCGTGACCACAAGGTTTCGTCGACGAGAAAATGCGCTCTCTGTCACTCACTGCAGTGAGTACTGAGTTATATTTTTTGAGTGTGTTCTCGCATCCTCTCCCTTTCCTCCTTCTACCGATCCTACCCTCGGGACCGCGCCCGCCGTGTCTCGCGTACCAATCTGTTGCAGTGCAGGGGGTAACATTAGTATTTATAGCTGACGTGTTTTATTCTCCCCTCTGTCGTGGTGTTTTGTATCGTGGTTAACTCAAACCATTCTCTATTCGGTGTACGATGGTTTGATTACCAATCTGTTGCAGTGCAGGGGGTAACATTAGTATTTATAGTTTACATGTTATATTCTTATATATTCTCCCCTCTGTCGTGGTGTTTTGTATCGTGGTTAACTCAAACCATTCTCTATTCGGTGTACGATGGTGTGATTACCAATCTGTTGCAGTGCAGGGGGTAACATTAGTATTTATAGTTTACATGTTATATTCTTATATATTCTCCCCTCTGTCGTGGTATTTTGTATCGTGGTTAACTCAAATTATTCTCAATCCGGTGTACGATGGTTTGATGCTTTGTGAAAACAGCTTATTGAATATCGAGTTATCCATGGCCCAACAAACTGAGTGATGAATTGATGTTAATTTCTCGTAGAAATGAAGTGAAAATTATATGATGTAAACGTGTTGATGTTGTTGATTTGATGATATGGGTGTCTCGGACCTGATAAAAATCTCATTCTGATTTCATATTGAACTTTAAGATAGAACTAAATATGAATCGAAGTTTCTCATCAATCTTAATTCAAACTTTTCGCATAATAAATAAATAATTTCTTGCTTATTCGACATATAACAAATATTTTAGTTTGATTATTGCACGGTGATAATAACGTAGGTTTTGGAAAAGAACGAATTATTGGAAATCTGGAGAAGGCGGGCCAGTGCATCTGGTACGTTGAGCAACATAGTGGAATTGGCCTGCAGTCGATATTGTACCGCAGCGTAATCTGGTCACATCCGCTGATAATATTACCGTCTCCTCTCTGACTTTTGCTTGCTGTATATTATCTACGTTAATCCCCAGTCTCACATCGAAACCACGTCTGCTATTTGTTTCATTATTTCTTGTCCATTCCAGCTAATTTATCCTCTGTAATGTTACTCGTATCTGAACTGCTATTTCGTTCCGACCAATTTAGCTACTTGACAAGGAAAATATAAATTTCTGAATTTTTAAACAAATATCGAGAAGTGATTGAGTATCCTTGCTTCTTATCGGACGGTCAACCGAGAAACATTTCAATACGTAAATATACACTTCATGCTCTTGAACTCGCTCCCGTAACTCTCTATAAAAACGTACTTTAATACTTTGAATGATACTCGAGACAATACAATTGTCTATCCTGGATTTGAAATTGTATCTGTACCTAACGACCCAATCTTCGTTTTGCCTTAGTTATGTGCTCTGGCTCAATCAAGATCAAACATGACGTCATCGGCAGAAACAAAAGTAGTACCTATCTGTTTCAGAGTAAACATTCACGTGTGTTTATAATTGATAATGCACAACGATCGTACTCCACATTAAGAACAATTCATCGGTCATATTGGTTTAAGAATCGTGACTCGTTGATGTTTCCTTTTGTAAGAATCGTATTCATCAATGACGTGCTTAGCAATTCGTGAACTTTGTTCCATATCGATGAGTATATATAGGTTACATCGACTCAAAAAGAAACTTGATGCGTAACTGTGGTATAAGTAATGATACAGCGACATGATATCAGTGCGATGAAGATCGTAATGTGGATCAAGATAAGGTGCGTAATGTGGGTCATTAACGTCATCATTTATCTAATTGACAAGTGCACGTGCATTATATATATTATTGAAATATAAATATTCTTATTAAATATGTATTGTTGTTTGCAGTATAATTACAATTAATTAATCAGTGTACCAGTATCCAAGTTAAACCTTCTGTAGGTTTATTAAATGTTCATTAGTTTATAATGTTTGTCACTCATTATGAGCGATGCGATCGTTTTTAGCGCATTTTCTCATTTATGAAAAAATGCACTATTGTGCTCACCATGTCTGTCTGTCCGTCCGTGACTTCATGTTTTCGTCGATGAGAAAATGCGCTCTCTGTCACTCACTGCAGTGAGTCTTGAGTTATATTTTTGTTCTTCTCTCAACCTGGATGCGTAATGATTACTGCCCTTTTTTTGCACCGACATAAAATAATTCCAATAAATTTATCGTGGTCTTACTTTTAGCGGCTCTAAACCCCATGTGCCTCTTAATATATAAATTTAATGTTGTTTATTTATTATCTAATTTCAGAGAAATTAGTTTCTCAAGTTATCTCAATTTAATTGAATCTTGCAATATTTACACGTCAGTATACTATACTAATTTTTACTCGTAAGCACCGACGTTCTTTCTGTTATTTTTAGGATTAGTTTCAAAGCCTCACGCGACTTGAGGGTAATTTCTATTGAAAAACTTAATATTAGTGTATTAAATGTTGCAATTTTGCTGCTTGAACTTCTGTTTTTAAAATAATTTGCGAATATTGGTTCTACTTTTTAGTCTTGAATGGCCTGACAATTGAATTTACGGGAAAGGAGTTTTATTTTTTCGAGTTCATCACAATCAAGAAAAATTACACACCAAGTGCGTGCTTCATACTTGAAGCCTCTTAAGCTGTTATTTTTTCTTATCACAAAAGTTGCTATAGCTAACATGCAATTATTGAGCGTCAGACGAGCACGTCCTCACACCACGATCTCTGGAGTGACACTGGCGAGGGAGCTTCCCTCGCTCGAAATCGATTCCTCTTCGCCCGTCCTGTAGCTTCTGTTTCTGCTTCTTTCATTAAGAGTTGTAAGGATTTCTAAGTTATGTACGTAGTAAAATATGCAGAATTTTGCAGATTTCGATTACCTCGTTAAGAAATCCGTTCTTGAAATCGGTAATATTTGCAGAATGGATGTCTGTTATATTGAATATTAACTTTTTCTGCTGTTACCAATCTCTGAACACAAAATGTATCTTATTTCTTTTTTGTCCTGTCAACAAGAAAAATGTGTTGCTCAGTTAACGATTTAAAATGAAAGTAATTTCATTCGACTGCAAGCACCGAGAAAGTCAAGTAGTACGAATTGAACCACTATTTTCAACCACTTGTACTTTCTTTTTCTCCAAGATTTTAATAGTTTCATTTTTTGTCTTCGCAAATTAGTACTGGTTTATCTGAAAGTGGTTTTGGTTGGGATATTTACCGTATTTTATAGAATTCTGTGTGTAAAATTATTCAAGATTTCATTTCCTAAATTTGAAAGATAAGTTGTCATTTTTGTGAAATTTTAATGAATGCCTGTTGACGTAAAAATTTTAAACCATTTTCGTCACCTTATAATCATGTAATTTTTTAGCTAGTATTACTTGCAGTGAAATGTAATGTTGACGTCGTAAAAATTTTATGTTGACGCCGTGACAAACGAAAATGTCGAAATGCCTAACTTTTTGTGCCTTCTTTTTTAGCTTTTCAATTTGCAAACGTCTTCTATAGCTATATTTACTTTTAATTTCGGGGATAAGGTAGCAATTATATTCTTCACCTAACTTTATCCTTGGACTTTCACATGCCACTTTAATTGTATTGTAAAGATATTTTAATTCCGAATCGACTGAGTGTGCGGCTGTAGGGCACTTTCAAACGGCAATTTAATCTAAAATAAATTCAAGTTCCTCTTTAATTAATAGACTTTTTGCCCGCAGGTATGTCGGGCGCGACGTTCCCCAACAGCCACACCACGGCCGTGGCACCGCCGGCGTCAGCGCCCGAGCGTCGTATCTACGTCAACACAGGCTACCTGCGCTCCCTGCACGGTCTACTTAAGATCGCACACATGGTATAATGCTAGGTCTTCTTGTTACATTCTTATAACAAATATAGAGGTATAGTTGCTAGGTGTCTTGTTACATTCTCGTCACTAATATAGAGGTATAGTTGCTAGGTGTCTTGTTACATTCTCGTCACTAATATTGAGGTATAGTTGCTAGGTGTAGTGCACAGATGGTACCTATAGTTGCTAGGCCTTCTTGTTACATTCTCGTCACTAATATAGAGGTTTGGAATTATTTCTAGCATTGTCATTATAACCTTTTTGACCGGTAGTAATACTACTCGTACCTATCGTATCTACGTCAACACGGGCTACCTGCGCTCCCTGCACGGTCTGCTTAAGATCGCACACATGGTATAGTGTCTTGTTACATTCTCGTCACTAATATTGAGGTATAGTTGCTAGGTGTCTTGTTACATTCTCGTCACTAATATTGAGGTATAGTTGCTAGGTGTAGTGCACAGATGGTACCTATAGTTGCTAGGCCTTCTTGTTACATTCTCGTCACTAATATAGAGGTTTGGAATTATTTCTAGCATTGTCATTATAACCTTTTTGACCGGTAGTAATACTACTCGTACCTATCGTATCTACGTCAACACGGGCTACCTGCGCTCCCTGCACGGTCTGCTTAAGATCGCACACATGGTATAGTTGCTAGGCCTCTTGTTACATTCTCGTCACTAATATAGAGGTTTGGAATTATTGGAGTATTGTCATTATAACCTCGATGACTGTAGTAGTAATATTCGTATCTATGGACTGGAATGATATCGCGAGGCCTTCTCAAGAACGTCCACATGGTCGGTCCTCTTCGCCGTCGTTTTACATTCCCATGTTAATTTAGATGTTGTTTTTTTTTATTATTTTAATTATCAGTCAATTATGTCGCATTAGGATGTTTTTTTCTTTAATTTACCTACTAAATTTACGACGTTTGAATCCACAATTGCAAATCATATTCATGTCTGCCATTTGTTACAGCCCAATTAATGCTCTACCTACTATATTTATATCATGATTATTGATTGTAGTATCATTTATTAATTATATCATATCATTATTATCTCTCATATATTTATATCATTAATAATGTATTAATACATATACTACAATATTGCAGGTGCTGAGCATCATTCTGTTCATCTGCGCGATGATGTCCAGGTTCGTGTACCACGCTCGCTCCAACTACCTCGCGTTCGTCGCCATGACAGGCTTCTGGTCCTCGGCTATACTGCTCTTCTTGTACGTCATCAACGTCGTCACCTACCTCACCATCGTGCCGTGGGTCCGCGTGGTGAGTTGTGTTACGTGTCTCACCATCGTGCCATGGGTCCGCGTGGTGAGTTGTGTTACGTGCCTCACCATCGTGCCATGGGTCCGCGTGGTGAGTTGTGTTACGTGCCTCACCATCGTGCCGTGGGTCCGCGTGGTGAGTTGTGTTACGTGCCTCACCATCGTGCCGTGGGTCCGCGTGGTGAGTTGTGTTGCGTGCCTCACCATCGTGCCGTGGGTCCGTGTGGTGAGTTGTGTTACGTGCCTCACCATCGTGCCGTGGGTCCGCGCGGTGAGATTTAATATCAATTCACGCGCATAATCCCACTTGCACAAACAATTCCAACACTGTGAATTCATTTAAAAAAATTGTTAACGGCCGTAAGTTTCTTCACTTCATTTAATCACTAAGCTTGTTTCATGAAGCTTCTGGAAAAGAAGCGGTCAGCATTCTGGTTGTTGAAGTGTTGATAGGCTACGATAGTCCATCTGATATTTGATAAGCTAGCCTGATTGATAGCCTTCTGGGTTGAATATTTCAGCTCATAAAATGTGAATTTATGATTTGGTTCTGGTTTGCAATAAGGAATTTGTGTTGCGTGGATGCTCGGGTATAAAACAACGTCTTCCTGCCATCTATTCCGCTATTAGTTTTAATCATTTTACTCCATTCATTATTAAAACTCGTTTCTCGGTCTGAATGCAGGTCAACACGCTTCCAATTCCATTAACATTTACTGATGATACTTGATGGTCGGGATCAATGAGATGACTGTTGTTGTGGATGAGAATTAATGATTGTTTTATCATTAATCATATTAATAACTAATGTGCATTTGATTTCAGGAGCTTTTCTACACAGCACTCATGGCTTTCTTCGCCTTCGTTGCTGGCTGCGTGGCCGCTGATGGTGCGGCCAATGGGTACGTTTTTATGCCTTAATTATTAATAAATTTACTTATCGATTCAAATATTCTAACGTGATGGCAAATATCTTAAGATATTCATCCGACGTGACTATACTCGTCAGAAATGTTATGGGTCCTCCGGAGTATGGGGCCTGAATGAATACCCCGGGGAACTAGGGGTATTCATCGTTCCCAAGCTTACCACCTCTCAGCTCACATTATCTTGATTTGACTCTCAGTTATGGTGCAGAGTTAGCCATACCTAAGCCTAAGTTGGCTTCATCGTGTAAGCACGATTTCTTGCACTTCTCTATCTCACTCGCGGCGACGTGTCGTGTAATGCCTCGTTCTCACATTGCCGGTTTATGCCCCGTTCTCACATAGCCGGTTAAAGGGCCGGAAGTCCCGGAAACGCCAAGCCAGTTGAAATGCCGGATTCATAGCCGGTATATGGGGCAGGGCGTAATATGCAAGGGGCAGGGCTTAATATGTAATGCCCTCCAGGTAGCTGTCCCGTAAGAGCCGGTTGGTTTCCCGGAAGAGCCGGATATCCGGGAGATCCGGCTTCAGTAGCCGGGAGATCCTGCAATACCGGCTGTCAACGTATTCCCGGTACTCCCGGGAGCCTGCCGGAAGTCCCGTATGCCTCCCGGATTTCCAGGTAGATCACCGGAATTCCCGGAAAAAAGCCGGTAAAGCAGCAGGTAGAGCCGTTTGAGCAGTAGGAACTGCCGTAAAACCAGGGTAGGCCCGGCTTTTTTCGGGTATTCCAGGTAAGTTATGCAAAGTTAGGCCCGCCCCTTTCAAAAAAACCTTCAAAGGTTAAAGAAAAAGTCCCCTATTTAATTTAATACATTTTCCACAATATTCAGATCTAAAGTAAATGGGGACAGGTATTATAAGTTAAAAAGTGTATTAAAATGTTTGAGGAACTTTATTGAATAAGGACAACTTTTCGGAAAGTAAAAGCAAAAATGTGTATCAGCTTCAGTTAAAAAATTGTATTCATCTTTAACACAAAATTATTTCAGAAAGTGTTGACAAAAAAGAAAATGGTGATAATGTTTCATTTAATTAATCACACCCCATTTATTGTTACATTGTGTTTACAATATATAAACATGCATACCGGTATATCTAATGCAAATTTGCAAAGTTTAATCAGCAGACATGAAAGAAATGTTAATAATTAACAAAACTTGCACAAAAATGTGAAAAAGTAGGTATATCATTTTAACAGCTGATAGTATTAAATATAAACAATTGACAATGCATTTGGAAAAAAAAAGTACAAAGTTGAAACAGCACATAGGCTGAAAATGTGAATAAGTGAAAATGCTTTCGCATAAAAAAATTTTTGGGACGATTTCACCCCTCCCGGTACCCCAGGCTGGTCCCCCGGCCGTGCCGGTTGAGTTCTCACATAGCAACGGAAGAGCAGGTTGGCTCCCGGATTTTTATGGTTCCGGGCGTACCGGCAAAATTATTCAACATGTTGAATAATTTTTCCGACCAAGCCGGATTATGGCCACGCCCTCCCGGATCTCATTTCCCGGATCTCCAGTTTGATAACCGGTACAACACTTTCTGAAATAATTTTGTGTTAAAGATGAATACAATTTTTTAACTGAAGCTGATACACATTTTTGCTTTTACTTTCCGAAAAGTTGTCCTTGTTCAATAAAGTTCCTTAAACATTTTAATAAACTTTTTAACTTATAATACCTGTCCCCATTTACTTTAGATCTGAATATTGTGGAAAAGGTATTAATATCCAGGGCAACCTAGGGGAACATACGTTATTGCACGTATTTCTACTGGGAGCCTTTTTTCTAGTAACCAATGCAGCCAACTCTCAATAAAGTATGTTCCGTTTCTTTAAATTAAATAGGGGAACTTTTCATTAAACATTGAAAGCTTTTATTGAAAGGGGCGGGCCTAAATTTGCATAACTTACCTGGAATACCGTGAAAAAAGCCGGGCCTACCCTGGTTTTACGGCAGTTCTTACTGCTCAAACGGCTCTACCTGCTGTTTTACCGGCTTTTTTTCCGGGAATTCCGGCGATCTACCTGGAAATCCGGGAGGCATACGGGACTTCCGGCAGGCTCCCGGGAGTACCGGGAATACGTTGACAGCCAGTATTGCAGGATCTCTTGGCTACTGAAGCCGGATCTCCCGGATATCCGGCTCTTCCGGGAAACCAACCGACTCTTACGGGACAGCTACCTGGAGGGCATTACATATTAAGCCCTGCCCCTTGCATATTACGCCCTGCCCCATATACCGGCTATAAATCCGGCATTTCAACCGGCTTGGCGTTTCCGGGACTTCCGGCCCTTCAACCGGCAATGTGAGAACGAAGCATAAGAGAACTCTAGTTTGAGTATCTCTCGCCAGTTCATGGCTGATCAACTGTCCCTTATTACTCCTTTGAGATGCTCACGCTGCTCATTTGTTGCGAGCTTCAGTGGGCCGGTCACTGAGAATAATGATTTGAGGAATTAACGATAATCGTTAACCTTCGCCTTAATGGTGTTGCTTATTTATTATTTTCGTTGCGAAATGGCCTAATATCATAGCTTAAAAGCGTCGTGCTAAATATTTGTGATGAATGCTGCGTTCTCGGTGCTTGCATCTGATTCATGAAGAAATAATCGTACAATGACAGGCTATTTGTCTTGTTATTGAATAAATCTTTACTTCTATCCGGTCCGATGTGTTCCCACGTACCTAATATCACTATTTCTGGATTTGTGAAATTGGATGTATACGGTCCAAATGAGATTATTGAGAAAGCTTCCCCCGTAATGGAAGTTAATTTGTTAATTTTATTCGTGGAATCCCTGATTAAAATATGAAATGGACGTAAATCTACTGGCAAGTATTGTGGTGTTAGCAATTCATCATTATCATGTATTATTTATTGAGCTATTTCTACCTGAAAATGCATACATCAGGCAAGTATGCACTAAAAAACGTGTACATTCCAGCATTTAATTTATTATTTTGGCGCCAGGTTCGACGCACCCTACGGAGCTGCCGCATTCTTCGGGTTTGCGCTGATGCTGGTGTACGCGGCGAACGCCTTCATCCTCTTCCGGCTGATGAGGGACGGCGTGCGACTTGTGACCACTGAGACCACCACCGTCACTACCACCGTGCCTAAATAGCTACCATCACAACCACCGTCACTACCACCGTGCCTAAATAGCTACTACTACCACCACCGTCACTACCACCGTGCCTAAATAGCTACCACCACCACCATCACCGCAACAGTGCCTAAATAGCTACCACCAGCCTCACCGCAACCGTGCCTAAATAGCTACCACCATCACCACTACCGTGCTTAAAAGTAGCTATCATCACCGCCGTGCCTTCGCCAGTGCTGTGCTTTCTTCACCGCTGTGCCTTCGCCACCGCCGTTTCAGTGATTTAACACCAAGCGCAGTTTTAGCTCGAAAAATCGAAATATTTCTTCAGTAGAACACTTGCTGCTTAAGTCTGCCAGTTTTTGGTGCTTCATTTTCTCGTTGAAAATTCTAGTGTGTTCTTTACTTTGCTCATACTTGTGCCAACAATTTTCTTTATTAAACTCGTTACAGAAGTATTTATTTTTTGGTTGAACATGTGTCAAATTGCCGACCATATTGCTGGACTGTTAAGCTATGCTCAAATCTCGTCTATTGATGGACGATGCAATTTTTCTCAAGTTGTGTTCGATATGAGGAAAATTCTCTTGACTTCATGGGTTTTTAATTGTGCCGATTTTATGGTTGCTGTGAGTTTTGAAACTTACTGACATGTCTTGTAAAAGCAAATGACGTCATATTTGCGTAAACATAAAAATTTCCGTATTTTATTTGAACTAATACTTTTTTGGGAGCTAATTCACAGATTTTAAATAATTTGATGATGAACAAGGAGTGTTCTTACTGGTAGTCTCATTTGATTTGTTCTGTTCTTCTAACTTATTTTTTAAGTTGATATTCCTAGATTTAGTCAATCTTGTAACCCTTTATCAAGCGAAGGAATAGAATGTATTTTCATTGCTTGCCTTTCTCATTCAAAGTGGTGGAATGTTTGTGTTTCGGTACAAGTTTTTGTTTTATTTAAACATTTGATGCTAATCGAACGTAGATTTTGATTGCTGAATGTTATGAACTAATTTATTGTTGTGCGTGAAAAAACACTTCAACTCGTACTATTACGATTGTTGAATCTGAAAAAGAATTTTCACCCGTAATCTATTGTAAGGTAACACATCGCTTCACGTCTTCAGGTTTTAGTTCACCTGAAGAAGCTAGTCTATCACCGACCCAAAGTTAGTGACATACATCGTAGAAATTATGGTTATTTTTGCTAAAGATTTATGAATCACATATTTTGATCGATCTTGATCTAGATTTAGTTCATTGCGATATTGCTCCTTGTTAAGCATTTGAAATCACTTGTTCGTTGTAAAAGATTGTGAAAAATAATCTTGCTGTTCCAGAAAAACTGAGGTGTTGCTACAGTAATGTTCATTACTCGTTTCTAATTAACATTATGTATTTAATAATGGCCGTATTTAAATCATAATAGGTCAAAAAACATGTTGCCAGTGTTTTGTGGACGCTTTTGCTATGCGATAAGATACATTCCATTAACTTTTATCTCTTACTAACATGCTGGTGTTCCGCTTATTCTAGATAAAATTACTCTTAAGGAACTTTGTGTTCAATATAATTTTGAAATCATTTCACGATCATTTCGTGGAACATTTAAATATCTTGATTGTCTGAAGAGAATTAAATTCCATTTTTTATTGTTTTTTTTTCATAAACGAAGCCTACTTGTCAGAGGAAGATTACCTATAATTGAATTATTCAAGTTTTGTTGTAGATATTCACATCGTTTTATCTAAGAACAACTTGACAATTGAACTCATTGATGCAAATATTGTAATAGGGGACATTACTTGATCCTCCACTTAGCAACTTTTTACAGTGTTAATCTGTAGATCAGATTTGTGGTGAAATTAATCTACGCTTGCGAACTCTTTTTTTCATAACACATTACTAGTGTTGTGCATCGTCGCGAAGTCAACTGTCATCATCGCGAAGTCATTCGGGTTATCGTCGCAAAGTCATTTTGGTTTTGCCGTTCCTCTATCAAGAACGTTTCGAGGTTTGGCAGGAGTGATGTCGGGAATTGCCGATACACAATGCATTCACTTTGACTTTCCTGCAAGTCGTGTCCTCATCAATAACCACAAATCTCACGTTATTTTGAACATATAATGTTGTTGTTATTTTACTCGTCTAAGTACAGCAAGAAGCTCTGTAGTGGACACGCCGGTTCTGAACTCTTGTGATGCGGGCTCGTTAGTATATGAAAAAAATTGTTTCGAAAGAATATTTCGTAGCTAAAATGCAACTATTTCCGTGATTTTTTTCTATTTCTTGAATGTTTTTTTTTTTTCATTTTATTCTAGTAAATTTCTCCAACTGAATTTAGTTATATTCGCAGAACCTAACAATTTCGGCAATCTCTCACTGCGTAATGTACTCGTTTTATCATACGAAGTTCGTAAGGGAATTGCTTTCACCCATTGATTGTCCAACTGTTCCTGCAGCTGTCTAACATAAATAAAGACTTTCAAATATGTATAAATCGCAGTGCAAAATCGTCGACCTACAGACCATTTATTTTGCTGGCATTTGGCCGTTATTTGATTGCATATCCATCAATTTCTACAACCTAATTAATCTTTTTTTGTAGATATGAATTTCCATTAGGCCTCTCATTTTATTCCGCTCTGCTTAGACAAGTGATGAACATCATTTCAAAAATACGAGTTCTAATTGAAATTATTCATTCTGACAAGAGCTTAAATTGCCGAGATTCGTATCGAGCTACAAGAAATTCTGGTAGGTTGAAAACGCCAATTTACTGACATGTTTATTCATCTCGAGTGTCAGCGATAGCAGGTTTTTTTTTCTCGCCTCTGAAGCGATTCTTGTTGGCCGCAGAGCGGGCAAACCTGACGGCCGAACGGACGCGACTTTGGTAAAGTTTAGCGCGACGTTCAGAGAACGTTTGCTTGATCTTTGTTTTAGGAGGACCTTCCAACTGCTCGTCTGATATTTTACCAATCTTGTGAAGTTCAAGAGCCTCTCGGCGATCCTTAAGCATTGAGCTGCGACGGAGTCTCTTGGTTTCCTTAGTCTTGAGTTTGTGGTACAACTTACGATTCTTCTTGTGAATCATCAGCGTGCGCATCCTTGTGTCGGTGCGCTCCTCTTTGGACTCGTCTTTCTTTTTGCTGTAGAATCTCTCTTTACCCCGCCGCACAACGTCCTTAATCTCCTCTTCCTTTCCATCATCTTTCTTCTCCTCTTCTTTGTTGTTCCCCTCACCATCGTCCACCTCCATGGAAGCGTCGGCTTCATTCACTGCATCGTCGCCGTCTTCCTCGACCTCTTCGTCTTTTTCTTCATCAGACTCATCGTTTTCATCTTCGTCATACTTATCTTCGTCGTCATCATCTTCGCTGCCGCTCTCGTCATCACTTTTCTCGTTTACAGCTCGTAACATGGCAACTGAAGAAAAAAATTCATTTATCTCAGCCTGAATAACAAACTAAACAAAAATACTTATGAAAACTTTCTAAGAATCAGAAAGTTAATGCTGAATGTTTGCACTTAGAATTCAATTACAAAACTATATGAGGTTCTGAATGCAACCAAACTACGGTAAGTATACAATACTTACGTTTTTTCTGCTCGGCTGCGGCCATCTCCTTGAGCAGCGCTTCTTTTTCCTCGGGTGAAGCGGCGAGCAGCTTGCGCAAATCTTCTTCTTCAGGAGGAATGTACCACCCTTCAAAGTTCTGGAAATCAATGATGAAAATTTCTGAATATGACGTTCATCCTTCATTTACTTATTTCATTAAAAGATTATCATCGAAATTGAGATTTCTCAATTTTTAGGACACATTTTTGAACGTCTTCATACAGTAAGCATTATAGACTCGCTCGACAAGGCCTTTCTCAATACCAATCGAGGCAGCAAACATCTCCCTCAATTTATTCGTTAATTTGCTATGAACTCTCCATCAATTTATTCGTTTCTATGCTGTGAACAAAATAATTTCTTCCTCTCATAATACTCAAACTTTTGTCATGTGTTATTGAGAAATCTCGATTAAACTTCCGTTATCGATAAAATATAAATTAAATCCTCGTATTGATAAGTTTGAAAAGAAAACTTTTAAGGAACAACGCCCTTATTAAAAAGAATGATGGCATAGATACGATGCCAGCGTTTGGGCTCAAAATTAATTGGGACAACTTGAGCCTCTCAGAGAAGTAGATAAAATTTAACAACGGTATCCATGTTACCAAGTGAGGTTTCAAACAGACACTCGAAAGGTAAGGTGGGCGATACACGGGGCGATTAGTTGCGTCTACAAGGCGACGCAACTAAAATTTGTGATGCTTGACGGTTCAGAGGCAAATAGCTGGTTCATTGCAGGCAGAGCAACTCGGGTTGTTTTGAAGCAATCTATTGCGCTCAGTAGCGGCCCGGCCGTCTAAGCGTGCACAACTGCGTAGTAGATGCAACTAATCGCCCCCGTGTATACGTACCTTAAACTACATTTACATAGAGAATAAGCAACAAGGACATAAATTAGAAACCTATGCAGTTTTTCGTACGTATTAAGATATCCACTCGAATGAAACTTAATGCTATAAAAATCCGAAATTAAATTAAAAATCCGACCCGTTCAGTTTAAAGCTGAGAAATCAAAAGCTCGTTATTTTATCTTAATTTTTAGACCTGACGTAGGGTGAATTGTACATCATTGAATCTATTCAATTACACAAATTGAATAGATATTTACAGCTGCAGCCAGATAGAGGTTGAGCACATGATAGTAAAATATGCTATCGCTTCGTTTTTCTCAAGAGCCATCGATGGCAAAAAATGAATCTCAAGCTCCATTTGATGTCTGCTTTGTAGTCTTGCTTGAATAAATATCCGTTGTAGCTTGTGATCACATGACCCACCTTCAGGAAGGGACAGATGTGCGGGGGCAGAGGGCAGCCCGGCAGGTAGGGCTGGCACGGCTTCAGCGTGACAGCGTTCAGGCAGTCATACACCCACTGAGGCTGTACGTAGAACCTGACCAATGGCATTATTATAGCACTTCTGGATTCAATAAAAAAAGTTTTCACTAAATCATTGATCAAATCAACAGATAAAGCGGCAGAACAGAACAATTCATAGGATAAATTCTTAAAAACAATTGACAAAGTTGTACTAACCCTACAAGGAAACGTAACACTTTCACTAAGCAGGAATAAAAATGATTTGTACTCATGAGACAATTTGCCGCCTGTAGATGAATTAAAATTAATGCTACAAAAACTCGTAAAGCCATATTCATGTTTATAACAATTTCGGGCCCGAAAAGTCGAAGAGGATAAACAATTGTTGATTAGTTAAATAATAATTGATAAAATAGCTAACCTCGTAAGATATTTCTTATCAAAATTTGGTCTATCGACGATCTGGTGAGTGATGCATTGGTCGTCCTCCTTGTACGTTGAGCATGGAAACACGGTGCTTGGCCACGACACCTGTGCAATGAAAAGCATTTGCAATAGGTAGATAATGTGGTTATACACAGGTAGATAATGTGGTTATACAGAAAATATTTCCTCATATTTTGCGTAGATCATTGAAATTTATAAATTGCAGTAGTCTTGAGAAAAACACAGCTTGATATTACATTTTGAAGAACAAAAAATAATTGATACTAGAATATATATACTTAACATGACAGCCGTTCTATCTAAATTGACATAACCACACAAGTAATTCAGGGACTTCATCGCACCACAGGACTCCAGTGAGGCATGGGACAAATAATTATTATATATACGTTTCACCGTACATTAACGAGTTTTAATTAACTAACCTCACCACCGCACGACCGGATCACGAGCGTAAGCGACTCCCTGTTGCACTCGGGGTTCAGGAAGAACTTGAGGCCGCTGAACAGCTTGCGTCGAGCCTCGGCTTGCATCCGCTCGGCATACACCTTTTGTGTCTTTTCAGAGCTTCCCTGGAATACGGAAAGAAGCGTGAGTGCGCTCGAGTTCCAAGCAGAACTTTGTTGCATAATAAAACCAATTTTTCAAGATTAAATATTATAAAATGGCTAATGATTTCGTAAATCAATTTCACTATTTACTCATGCTGGACTTTTCTATAATTTCCATTCTAATAAATTCAGAAAAATCTGAGTCAGTAAAAATTGGGTAAAATTCCCACAAAAGTGTTGTTTAGCAACGAACGAGAACCCACAATTACAATTTTTTATTAGCAAACCTTAACAACTGAATCCGTGAAATCACAGTTGAATGTAAATGTGTTTATAGTAGAGTATTAACAAAAAATTTAGACAACACGGTGGTAAGAACGCAACTCAAATGACCAGGCCGCTACAGCTATTATAAATAACAACAATGACATTAATTACCTTGATGAGCTTGGAAGTGGTCTCGTTGTCATCGAGATTTTCTTCACTTTCTTCAGTGGTCTTTTCCAATGGGTAGTTCAGTGAAGCCATCAAGTTCTTTAAATTATCCAAGTCTTTCTTTTCAGCACCTGAAGACAATTTAAAGGATATTAATTGTAAAAATGCAAACTATCAGAAAAGAAATGGTACGAAGAGGCCTACTTGTAAATTCAAGTCTAAATCTGATTGAAAATATCGAAGTTTGAATATCACAGAAACTATTGAAGTTTTGTGGTTGTTTGAAAGATTGTATATGCAGTGCAAGCATCACAAAAAAATGCAAACTTCAACATAAATACAATAATGTAGATCACGATGCACTTCATGTGGAACTTGACCGCACTGTCACAAAGATTCACAGAAAGCAGGGTAATAAGTAGCGCACAGTACTCACCTTTGAGCCGGGGCATGACTTTAGGTTTCAGGGGATAGCGCAAGTCCACTTTGCCCAGGAGGCGGAAATTGACAAAGCCTAACATGGCGATGTAGAACTCCAGGAAGTGACGCATGATCTTCATGTCGGCATTGGGAGGAACCTGGGACAAGAATCATCGTTACAACCACTCATGTTATAAGATCTTTTACCTCTTCCAAAAGATGAAAGAAATATATCTGTGCTTCGGTGACAGGAGGCCAAATCAGGTAGCGTTGTAGTCACCAAAAAGATTAATGCTAGATTACGTTCATGGGAATATTTGTAAAAGCTCTACCAAGTTTAGAAAGGGCTTCAAAACCTTATGAAACAACAATTGCACAAAATATTTCAACATAAAGCGCAAAATATTTATTTTGACATTGAAAAGGCTATCCTCCAAACACAGCACATATGTAATTATATGCACTTAAAAATTACTTTTCAAAGACAACACTTTTAAAGAGGCCAGTGTCTCCTATGTTACATGTGTACAATGAATTTCTTACTTTATTTTATTAAAATAAAGTAAAATTTGTTATTTATTAAAAATTTAAAATTATTTTTAATTAAAATTTTTAAAATTTGTCTTGATATTTAAAATTTTTTAACATTTGTAAAATTATTTATTCTGTCAATTGATTCATGCATTGTCTCTAACTTTACGCAAGTGTGAAAAATTTCAGATTGATTGGAGAGGTAGAAGTGTGTTAAATATTGATTAGAATATTTGTAGCAGACAGAAACAAGAAGTAAAGTTAAAGGGAGGTGTCGTAAAAATGAATCCACCAGAAGAGCTGACCTCCGTGACGCAGTTGTGTGGCGCGGTCCATACGATGTTGTGCCCCATTATTTCCACCTCATAATAATATCCTTTAGTTGTGATGAATGCCTTTGTGAGGCAAGACGCCTCTATAACGTATGTTAAGAACTCTATCTTGAGCCTCTGGCAACGGGACACGTGATCTGCAAGAAGTTGACCGTTTCAGACGTATACAAAAGTAGGCACAGACTGACAAACATCAGATTACATATCAAAGAAAAAAGTTTGATTCAAAGATACCCGGAGAAAGAGATCGAAAGTAATGGCATTTTGTGGAGAATCAGGAAGAATGCAGGTTTAAATACCGAACTCATTCGAAACTATTTTTTACTGCTGATTGACAGAAATTTAGTTATGTGAATAATGCTCATAGTTCTCGTACCACGAAGGCTCAATAAAAAGCAACCATTTATTTGCCACGACAGAGATACAGTTTCAAACAATAATTTCTTTATATCACTTACGTTCATAAATAGGAGGACGAACTTCTATGTTACAGAAAAGGAAGATCATTGTCAGAGGATCGCCCAGGTCTTTGACAGCATCAACAAATGTAGGATATCTCTCAAGAACATTTTGTTCCAGGCGATAAATTGGTTTGTTTCTTTTCACAAGCTGCTCCTTGTATCCGTCTCGCAAGTGTCGCGCCTTTGCCAGCTTCTTCCTCAGGGCCTAGAAGTACAATTGCTCATTATAGTTTGGTGATGGAGCATTAGAATGAGATTAAGTGAAAAGTTTGATGATATTTTTCCATAACGTGATGCACCTTAGAAATAAAAACCATCAGAGATTATCAACATTCAAGTTAATTATTATCTTTTACATTTATATAAGGATACTCAAGTTTAAAAAAGAGGAGTGACTACTACCTACCACAATTTGATTAGGTATCTACTAAAAACTAAAAATAATTGATATATTTAGTTCTTTCTACAGCAAAAATTGGTCACTTACATGGTAAAAGGACAAGTAAAAGCATGAAGCTTCACACATCAACAATAATCTTGGACAAACCTAATACTATAGGTAGTGATAGTAGAAAGGTGGTTAAAATTAAGTGAATGCATACAATTATTACAAGTAAACTCACTTCTTCCTGTCTGATGGTCCAAATAAGAGGATCATGCATGAGAAATTTAATGTCCTTCTTGAGGTACAAAGGTCTGTACTTTGAATCGCCCTTTTGGGCTTTGATTCTGTTCTTGGGCTCTATGGGGAAAATGCCTTTGATGATGCACACTCTATTGAAGGCTTGGAGCCCAAGCTGGAGCTTCCGCACAGCTCGAGACCTGGAGATGAATCTTGCTGCCTCTCCAGCTTCTCCCTATTGAAACAAAGTATTTTTAGTTGAACAATAACATATATAGGTAATAAAATAAATGGGAAAATAATTCCCACTTGCATGAAATTATATTCATAGACGCAATGCTTGCATTTAGTTACACAAGAAACAATCAACACTTAGTTCCATCTCCCAGAAGAAAAGATGACAGTGAATGGAAGAATAAATGCATTTGATTCAAGGGAAAATTGCACCAGTAAAATTTCTCAAGAACCTAAATAATTTCAATTTGGCATAAAAATTCTGGACCTGCATCAGCAGTTAGGAGACTTTTGCATTGTTGAGTTGTTGCTGGCTATCTTCAACTTAATTGCAGCGAATTGGACATTGTAATCTATTAGTTACCAATTTTGCTAACAAGTTAACACAGATTGATATGATTGGAGATGTTTTGACAAATTTGTCATATAAACCATTAAGACAAAGAAAGAAGGATACCATTGAATTGTCTATTTTAAATGTCAAGATCATAAAGTTAAAAATTTTGAATTAAAACTCATGGTCATAGTTGCGGTTGGTTAATGGCCAAACTGGAAGATTGGGCTGGAGCCAACCATGAATGAGAAAACAATGCTTAGAAATTTGGAGTGTCACACTCACAAAATGTTGAAAGAAACACAGTACTGGTATAAACTATAATTTCATAGGCAACTAAGGTAACTTTAAATTTAAAAAATTGCAGGGTCAAATTGTCAGCAAGTGCAAGTCACAGTTAGGGTAAACAAAGCATATTCCAACACCTTAAGGACATAGCAAGAAATAAATGGCTAAAAATAGATCACCGTATGCGCAAGTTCTGATTGGTTTATGTCACTCTCAAAACACCACACTATGCGTCAGCAATGATGAAACGTCACAAACTGTTCATATAAAGCCTTTATAATTCAAATCTACAAAATCGCTGAATTCCAACACTGTGAGTGACTAAATGCGGCATCTTGCGAGACTAATTCCGACAGCACTTCAAAATTGTAATTCCGAAACCCTGTGTTGAAATTAGTTTATACCGTAAAATGGGGTAACTTAGACCGGCGGGGTAACTTAGACCACTTTTTGTTTTTTTAACAAAAACCCCCACAACTCAAAAACTATTTGACATAGAAAATTTTTGTCAATGGGCATTAAAGGCCTAATACTGAGGCTACATAACACAATAGAAAGATTTGAAAAGTTTGCATATCTAATAGGTTAAAAAATTAAAAATGTGACCCACAAAAAAAAGCTATTATTTAAAGCCTGTCAGAGTACACCCTCCAATTTTTTTATTTTTTAGTTAAATAACTCCAGGTTTTGATGCATTGTAGTAGAACTCTTCTAGTTACATATGCAAATGACAAATTTTAAGAAAGTGTCATAGTTTGCAAATGGGGGGCGCCGCCCCCAAATGGGGTAACTTAGACCACCTAATGTCAGCCCTGACGGGGTAACATAGACCGGCTTGGAAGTTAACATAAAGACTATGAGAGGCAGGAGCCAGCAATTTATGGTGAGTGAAGCTAGAGTATAGACCTGTATTTTGCATGTTTCAATTCAAGTTTAATTTAGCTAGTAAAAAAATGGCATTGTTTATAAAAAAAAAGTGGTCTAAGTTACCCCATTTTACGGTATGTGTCTAAAACTGTCTCTTAAATCAATCATCTATTAATTTATTAACCACTTAAAATACGCAAATACAAGTATACTTAAACTTTAACTGAGGTTCTCAGCTTCTCACTAGCCGACTTGGACTTTTGCTCAGCAGATCTTGACATTATCCGCTAGACCTACTGTTTTGCGGAAATCTTGCACACAATAGTATGACGTCACTATTTCAACCATCTATGCATCTGTGGAACTAAGACCAAGCTAAGACTTCTAATATATTCACAGACTTGTTTACGAGTCTCAAACCATAATATTATTTCTACACAAGCAGTTTATCACTATTTAGTAAAGCAAGCCTAGCAAGGTCAACTATCAACTTTCATAGGTGTTTCAAGGTTCTCAGCTTCTCACTAGCTGACTTGGACTTTTGCTCTGCAGATCTTGACATTATCCGCTAGACCTACTGTTTTGCGGAAATCTTGCGCACAAGGCACAATAGTATGACGTCACTATTTCAACCATCTACACATGTGTGGAACTAAAACCAAGCTTAATATAAAGAAAAAAGTTGAGGGGTGTTGGAATCAACCACAGTGTCGGAATATGGTGCGTTTACCCTAATTTGCTTAGGAGGACACATCGAGGACACACCGACACATTGAGGACACATCGAGAAATGAAAAACTATAAAAAAATAACCGTATGCGTTACTCAAGTTCTGTTTGCTTCACGTGACTCTCAAAACACCGTACTATGCGCCAGCAACGATGAAACGTCACAAAATGTTGCCATTTTTATTTAAAAGCCTTTAGAATGCAAACCTACCAAATCCCTATATTCCAACACTATGTGTGACTATATTTGGACGTGGTGAGACGTATTCTGACTGCGCTTCAAATTGTACTAATACGTAATTCCAACATCCATGTGTTTGAATTCCGATTGCTGTGTGACATATGAAGAGGCATTGCATTTAAACCTTCAAAAGTTGCACTGCTGTGCGTGATAACTGTGAGCTGTATTGGAATATGACACGGCTTTAAATTAGAACACTATTGAATATTGAGCACTACTTAATTAGGCTTTTAATCAACAGTTATTAAGCTTTTAATTAAGAAAATTTTAATTTTTGCACACAGCTTGGAACGAGCTGTGTGTGTCCAATTCGAGTTGTGTTGGAATTAGTTTTCATGTGTCTAAATCTGTTTCTCAACTTAATCATCTATTAATTTATTAACCACTTGAAATCAGCCAATACAAGTATACTTAAAGGATTCACAATATATTCACAGACGTATTTAAAAATTTCAAACCATAATATTCTTTCTACACAAACAGTTTATCACTATTTGGTTGAGCAAGGTCAACTGTCAACTTTGACACATTTTTCGATTATCTCATTGGGTGGTAGGGTAAATGCGGTATATTCCGACATCGTAGGTAATTCCGTCACCTCTCCAGCTTTTCCTTTATACGGTATTAAGCTTTGTTTTAGTTCCATGCGTTCATTGATGGTTGAAATGGTGACGTCATACATTTGCGTGTCGAAATACTGCAAAAACACTAGGTCTTAGTGGATGTCGGCAATACGTATCAGTTAAATTTGAAGCGCTGACGCAATACGACTCAACACGTGTCGGATGTTGCCACACAAAGTGACGGAATATAGGGATTTGGTAGGTTTCCATTCTTAAGGCTTTTTAATAAATATGGCAACATTTTGTGACGTTTCATTGTTGCTGACGCGTAGTGAAGTGTTTTGAGAGTCATATGAAGGCAAAAGAACTTACGTAACACATACGTTTTTTTTATAGTTTTTCATTTCTCGATGGGTCCTTAATGTGTCGGAATATACCGCATTTACCCTATGCACCATCTCTCTTTGGATCTCAACATTTTTCTGCTAGATGGCCCAAACCTAGTGTTTTGGCAGTAGTTTGACGCGCAAATGTATGATGTCACTATTTCAACCATCAACGAACAGCGAACGCATGGAACTAAAAGAAAGCTTGATATAAAGGAAAAACTAGAGAGGTGTCGGAATTACCCATGATGTCGGAATATACCGCGTTTACCCTAATTAGCCTAGGCTACATGTCCTTCCCTAATTTTACCATGAAAATTTGCAAAAAACTGTGCATTTCTATCTACAAGTTTCAAAAATTAACCGAGAAATGGACCTTTTTTAGTTTTAGCCTTTAACATGTTCCAAATTGACCACTAGCCTAATTTAACATGTAATATTATAAAGAAAGAATATATTTGTTTCAACAATTATGAAAAAATCAACCATAAAATGACCATATTAAGCAATGGTTTTTAAAAATTCTGCCCCAAAATAGCCCAAATCCAGATTGGCTCAAAAATAGCCCAAATCTGGATTTGGGCTATTTTGGGGCAGAATTTTTGAAAACCATAGCTTAATATGGTCATTTTATGGTTGATTTTTTCATAATTGTTCTTACGATAGTTGATCTGATAGTTCTTATGTCATTCAGTCAGTGGCCTTTGGCAGACATGATTTATTAAAACGTTTTTCTTAGCTTAGCTTCGCGTTTGTTTGTTTGTTGTTAAAATTGACAACAAAAATTAGCCCACTTCTGATTGCTCTAGAGATCTGAAATTCGGCATGCAGGCTATTTTTGCCTAACAATTTCAGATACAATCATAGAAACTTGCAATTAGAGACCTAAATTAGCTTAATCGAGTAAAGTATATATAGGGTAAACGCGGTATATTCCGACACATTAAGGACGCATCGAGAAATGAAAAACTATAAAAAAAACCGTATGCGTTACGTAAGTTCTGTTGCCTTCACATGAATCTCAAAACACTTCACTACGCGTCAGCAACAATGAAACGTCACAAAATGTTGCCATATTTATTAAAAAGCCTTTAGAATGGAAACCTACCAAATCCCTATATTCCGTCACTAATCATAGTGGCAAAGCAGAGAGTTTTTTAGACTCTCCCTCAAGTTCATTTTTGAGTCCTATAAGTAGACCAGTAAAGTATCCTGGATACCAGCATTATCATACTTAAGAAATTTGTTTAAATCTTGAGTAAATGCCATGGCTGTCTCTTATACACATCTAGATGTGTATAAGAGACAGGTATCACATAGCTAGTTGACCTTATACCCTATACCTACTATTACTATCCTTATTAGATGAGGATTTACAATCTAAATTTGAGATCAATTTGTTGTCCAGTCAATTTTCAATTTTACATAAGTAATACTGAATTATATTTNAAAAAAACACGTTTTTCTTGTGGACTAAAAAGTAGAAAATAAATTATGGTTCGCCCAAAAAAAAAACGTGGGTCGGGCTGTACGTTCACCATCAAATTTACAAAATTTAAGTGTTGTGTGCTTTTCGCTTTTATCATAGGTAAATCTGCCCGACACACGTTTTTTTGGGGGCGAACCATAATTTATTTTCTACTTTTTAGTCCACAAGAAAAACGTGTTTTTTAAAAGTTTTTTTAAGTATTTTATTTATTTTATGGATGAAAGTGAAGGCCCTTCACTTTCATCCATAAAATAGGTAAATCATATTTGCCAGAGGCCACTGACTGAATGACATAAGAACTATCAGTGTCATGACAAGTTAGATAGCATTGATTTTAGTTGTTCCAAAGCTGTTCTTCCTTCAAATAGTTCTATGACTTCTATCTAGTTTACTCTTGTTTTACACATTGATTGTAGCCTAGTCAAGACTGTCAGTGCCACTACCAACGTTCAAGTTTCAAGATAAATGTTCAATAGAATAACTAAGTATCGATTACCTTTTTTTTCATATTACGCGGACGCCCCATTATGAAAGGCTCTTGCTAATTTGCACCTAGTAAATTAAATTTAAAATCCAAACAGCACAATATTCGTTGCGAAGAGCTTTTGCTGTTGAAGTTCCACTTGCGGTACAACTCTTGGAAGTTACAAAGAACTAGATTGCGATTTAACGATCGCTGCTGATAAATTCTGTGGAGATTTCACGAGTTTAAAACTGAGAGCATTATAGACTCGCACACAAGTTGATACAATTGATGTTTTATTTACAATTTTTTATCACAATATGAAATGTTTACCATTTTCTCATAAAATCGCTAGTATTTTAACACTTTCGGGCGTTGTTATCTGTTGGTAGCTGGCTAGCTGCAATTATTTCAGATACTATCATGATGCGGTAAAAGAAGCACGTAATTTTTACGCATATCAAGAAGCAGAATGATTACGAAATAATAATATTATGCTACAACTCGTTGGCAAAATTAAAGCGACTATGAGTACCACAGTAATATGCTTTATACACATTTCTTAGACAAGCGAGACGATTGAGAAAGATTTTAGCGACAATCTTTCTCGGTAGACGTAGGTTAAAAGTTTTATTTCTAATAAAATACCTAATAGAGGTGCAGCCGATTACATCGTCGTCTTTTACAATGATTGCCGCACAGTAATCGGAATCATACAAACTTTCATATCAGGGATCAGCGGGATGTGGGAGATACTGTTAATTTTGTAGCCAGGCTGAAACGCATGAGACAGTACTCATTAGAGAGTAGAAGGAAGAATTATTGTAAAGTATACTCGGAAGACGGAAACTGGTCTTTTGCCACAGCCCCAAAATATTGCAGTCAGGAATATGCCCTAAAACAGTGACGACGATTGTTCAGCAAATGGGATTTGAACATTAGATTAGCGTTAGATATTCGGCCTCTGAGGAAGGGATCCCTCCTCATTCTTGGTCCGAGATTGCTTAATTTTGCCGGTTGAAGGAAAAAGGAGGAGGGGTTGTGGGTTACAGATGAGACGTGAAAAAAGTATTGACGTGTTCTCAAACATAATCGTATATCATTTACCTCAAATTTATCGTCAGCCTTGCATGTCATGCCAGGTTTGACCGCCAAGACAGAGTGTATGGACGCTCAAAGTTTGACGTCTTGCATGACGGGTGGGCGGAGTTTGAGGTTTGACAAATCTGGAAAAATCGGACAGGCGAGACCTTTGGGTTCATGCAAGACAGGCGATAAGTTTGATTGTGTGCACGGTCACTAATTGGTCAAACTTTTGCTCTATCTGTAACTTTGTCCGTATTGATGTTGGGAGCTGTGACATTGTAGTGCTTCACACGAAAATGTCTTCTCAAGACATCCGACAGTGACACTGGTCTCGCGATTTTTTTCATCATCGAATTATATCGGGGTTTCCCTTGTTTATGGTAAATTCAAATAGCTACAGTGACAAGAACAAGAGAGCACTGGCCTATGCGGCATTATAATAATATAGCGGTTTCAGCGTTTATTAGGCCGTAGGCCTGTCGCCGATTCTTAACATCGCAGAACATTCACAGCATTTTGAGGTCTCGAACTCCCAACTCACTGCTACAATTCTGCTGTGCTTAACCGCCCGGCCTCCTTGCCGATTCTGACCAGAAACTGGCGCACAGAGCTGGGATCGAACCCGCGCCTCTCTAGTGCGTCAATCTTGGTACTCTGAACTTTAACCACTGGGCCACCCTGCCCTCAACCACTGGGCCACCCCAACCACTGGACCACCGCGTACATTTGCATCGCTTCAATCTAATTTTGGTAGCACAAACTGTGGGCAGGGTGGCCCAGTGGTTAAAGTTCAGAGTACCAGGATTGACGCAGAGAGGTGCGGGTTCGATCCCTGATCTGTGCGGCAGTTTCTGGTCAGAATCGGCAAGGAGGGCGGGCGGCTAAGCACAGCAGAATTGGAACAGTGAGTTGCGAGTTCGAGACCGCAAAATGCTGTGAATGTTCTGCGATGTTAAGAATCGGCGACAGGCCTACGGCCTGCTAAACGCTGAAACCGCTATTATTTATTATTTTATTATAAACTGCGATCACTGCAGCGAGCAACACTAGCTCCTCCATTGGCGAGAGCACACCAGACAGAAGGAAAGTTTGAATAGTATGGACGCCCGTCAGTATTCCGTCTTGTCGGTTAAACTTTGACATGACATGCAAGACTGACGATAAGTTTGAGCACAGTGTGGACGGGGCTTAATTAAAAGTCACGAGATTTCAGTAATCAAATTTGATTCAAATCTGGGGGACCTTAGTGTGCCTAACGTAAATGGAAATATTGAAAACCCCACCCCAGATAGCGGAATGGTTAGTAAAAAAAAATTTAATTACTCAGTTATTCAATTGTGGCCTTTTACAAAATCGTTTTGGTATTTCTCTCATGCCACGGTCTGCTACTCTGCCCACCCTGATGACTGACTGAAGTTCAGTAGTTCACTGAACGCCAGTTTAAGAATAAACTTCTTCGTGCGAGGTGAGCTTGACAACGGCGGTGCTATGCCACGTGAGGTTTCCACCGGAACTTTCAAGGTTTTTGTAAATATTAACCCAGTGAATCTTGAATGAATTGTACCTCGACGAAGCCGATTTTCATTGTAATCTCAAGGAAAAAAGTTTGCGCTGGATTTCCACTTGATGTAGGTAAGTTTATCTATTGAAGTTGAAATATTTCCTGCAGACATTTTTTCGGCAGCGCAGGACGCATTCATTTATTCAACTCTCGTGTTCATATGCTTATGGAAAATACTATGCGTGCTCCGAGTACATTTCTTTTTCTTTAATTGGAATTTATGGGAGCCTCTGAAGACTGGTTCAATGCGGCCCCATGTCAGAACAGTTGAAGACTTGAAGGAACTTGACTGAATTATGTATTCTTGTACAAAATTGGGTGTATTGAAAAAAAATAACTCAAGATTTCTCAATGGCTGAAGGGTTGCAGAACGGGGCCACCAAAGTGGAGACCACACCGGGGCGGAGAGCACCACTCCAGGGCAGACAGCCCCACTCCAGGGCAGAAAGCCCCACTCCAAATCCGCCGGCTCAACGCCTCGGAGCGGGACAGTACGGCATTTTCAAAGTTCGAGAAAGATAGTTCTAGAAAGGATGACGTAGCAGCCGGCCGAAGCCGGCTACTGTCACGGGAGCTTAGCACAAGGAACCTCTTGCCTCAACGGTTAGAACAGAACTCCCGAGTACATTTGCGCTGCCCCGTAACTTCCTGACGGATGCCTGCATTTGCAGATTCTGCTATTGAAAGGGTCGCTTTAGATAAAATAATAGAATTATGTGCTTCCTTCTTCTTATTTAATGGTTCTAAAATTCTATCGGTGGTTGCTGTGACTTGTTTCATCAGCCATCTCAGAGTTGCAGTTATAAGAACGCAAAGGACAGGTTAAATTCTTTCCTACCTAGACTACCTAAAATTTGTGTCAGCTTTTGTGTTTTAATTTTGAACCTTAGGTTGTGACATTAATGAGATCACTGATCCTATAGTTCTCTGCTTATTGCTATGGTACCAATTCATAATTTATTAGTGTTGTCTTCCTGCCAGGCCTTTGACATTATTATCTTTCACAATCGTCAAAACAATTTTTTCACCTATCATTGAGGGATATTATACGTACAATTCACTAATTTTGCAAATGTTTACCGCTGGCTGTTCATTAGTTTTTGCCGAACCTCTTTTGCTCCAATTTTCGCAGTAATGTTCAGAAGTCCGAAGGATACAATGGATCCATCAGCTCGATAACTTCACTATTGATCTGCCATGTATGATGTGTGCCATGTATTCATGGCACATGTGCCGCCTTTTTTATTGTGTATTCCCTGGCATTAGTGGCATATGATTACATTTTGTGCGCCTAACTTAAGGGTGCGCTCGAACTACTAAGTTCACTATATTTTCCCATTTTTGGTGCCTGCGGTCCCCGTATATATATTTCGATGACCGATCGTTACCATGACGCCGCGGAGGCTTATCTCGCGTTTAAAGTTCTTGGCAATCCTACAAGACAAGGTAAAACTGTTGTCTATTTGATGAATTTAAATCCTCGTTTTACCCAGAAGAAAGTTAATCGAAAAAGGTTCTCATGTTAGTCAGTTTGTGGCGATAGTTTTACGCTTTTATGCGTGGTAAGGCACGGCTTGTGGGATACCAAATAAACCTTCAACGCGATTTCGGATGCTATTGATCCACGGTAATGTTTTTCCTACCTGAGCGTGAATTTCATCCGGTATTCAAGCATACCGTATAGTTGATGATTTCTTTCATTTGTAAATGTGTATCAAACGAAGTTTTATATAGCCCCTCATATACTCCCTGTAATGTGCCTATGTGGGTTGTCGCTATTAATACTTCTGGATTCTTTAGCAATGCGGCAATTTTATTTCATTAAATCAGTAATAATCTAGGTTTCTTCATCAGAGGGAATAAAATTCTCGAACAAAAATTCACTTCTGCTGACGTGTTTGTTGATGGTAGATCTAAATGGCAAGTTAATTAATTCGGTGTGGGCAACCAAGTTTTCGCAGACAACTTCATCCGAATGGTAATGACTTGTGCACCAAACAATATTCGGGATGACGGTGTTTCAGGAAAGATGATGCCAAGAAATGTGTAGGTATTATTATAAGTGATCTTTGACCCCCTCAACATTTTCCTATTCGCTAACTAATCTATGTACATTTCCGAGCCTGTTTGCCTATTGGATTTCATTTGAACAGCTCGTGTTGAATAATCTTTTTCACCTATAGTGAAAACCTGTAAAAAGAATTAATAGTTTGATCTTCCTTGGTAATTATTCGAGCTCCTTTTTAAAAGCAGGTCGTGTGCGCCAGTTTTCGATTGCGTGCTGTACTCGATTCTACCGTATAACCCAAAAAAGGCGGAATAAAAGAGTAAAGTGTCGGCACTGAAGAAATAGGCCCATGGCCTGTTGCCGATTCTTGAACTTTTCGTGACTTGATTCACAAAGGATCCGGCCTTTGGAACCAAATTTTTCCATAACTGACGATTGATTGAGATAGCTGCTGGACTTATTGCCAGGTCCGTAATTTGCTAGGCATTTTAAGACTGAACATATGCTCCTGCATAGCTTCGTCTGGACTTTTTGCCTGGT